TACACATGATGGCCTTCGTCTTTTTGGAACACAGGATTGGGATACTTCTTCCAGTGTGTGATGTTGAGTGGATCTGTGCCCACAAACTCCAAGAGACCAAGCTTGTAATCAGGTGTGGCACATGAACTGGCCGAGTAGACTATGAAGGTTCTGTTGTCATGGTAGAGAGGTTCAGGCCCCTCGTTAGTAGTGCCACCTTCTATCTCCCAGTCATATGTCGGGGCGGATATCATGTGTTTTACACCAGGTGCCAGCGTGTAAGGATTAGTCAGTTCCCGTATGTACAACTGTTGGGTGTCGGCAATGAACGACGCGATCAAATAGAACTTACCATTGATCTTGATCAAACTGGGATCCAATTCCATCGGGTCACCGTCATCGATTAAATCCGCCTTATGTGAATAGGGCCCCATCGGGTCATCCCCAACGCTTTCTGCCACATGATTCCTGTGACACGCGTAGTTTTCAGTGCCTGGGGCGCATGACGTGTAGTAAAGGTACCACTTTCCGTCTACTTGATGAAGTTCTGGTGCCCATCCCGTATGACCGTCGAATGTGTACACCACCGTGTTCGAAGCATTTTTCAGACCTTCCAAGGTGGTAGCCTTTCGTATGCTAAAGTAATTGTCCCAACTGGTAGCGATCAAGTAATAGAAGCCTTCATAGGAGACCATCCATGGGTCGGGCGCATTTGGTGCTATCGGGTTCGTGAACGCTTCAGTACCAACCGTCGCCACCAATAATCCTATCACAAGCAGCATGAACATGTTCGATTTTTAATTTTAAATGCCTACTACTACAGCTTTTATAAGTGAGCAAATTCCACCACTATCATCATATTTTTCTTCAGTGTCCTGAAAACATCTGTTATCTATCTACTTATCTAGTTATAATCTCTTTTGAAGTAGTTGAACGTGACACTTGTGCAACTTCGCACTGCAATCATCTCTTATCTACTAAAAAAAAATGCTTGTTCCCAAATTAATTATGGGTTACAGATACAAGTAGATCTAAATCTACTTCTAAAAAAAACGTCAAACTATACAGTTTGATGTCATATCACATATTTGTGATGTGTATATATGTGCTATATATAGTGTGTTAAAATATATGATATTATCGTATAGAAAAGTGTTTTTTCTGTTGTATTCCCCTTTCATTATTCCAAATGTTCCATTTATTCATCTTAGTTTCTACAGATTTTTTATTTGTTTTAATCTTAGAAGGTTAGAAATAAAGAGGTATTAGAAAGAATAGGAGAACAGAGGACACTATGGAAGTAAATCAAAAATAGGCGAGATAGGTTAGTAGGACACCTTCTCAGGCATGAAGGTCTAGTCAAAGACATACTAGAGGCAGAAACGGAAGTTAATAGGGGTAGAGGTAGACCTAGATTAGATTACTCTTCGCAAATAGTTAAGGATATGGGTTGTTCTAGCTTTAGGGAAATGCGAAGATTAGCGCGGGATAGGAAAGAGTGGAGGTGCGTGTCTAACCAGTCTTCGGACTGACGACCTTATGAGGTCTTGATGAATCATTCTCAAATATTTCATTGCATTTTCTGAATCTTTTGTTGATCTTTCCTGGTTCCTTATACCTTTCCATTTAATTTCTCTTCAACATTATGATAATCCCGTTCATTCTGTAACATTTCCTTCGTATTCTGTTGCCTTTTTGTAGTGCATTAGCCTATCTTGGGGTAAAAAAGAATCGCCCTCCATCTTCCAGTAAGAAGTTGCTTTTATTTCCACAATTTTCTGCCTTTTTTGTATTAACATCAGATTTATCTCTCTTTTTTAAATGAATGTTGTGTAAACGAGTAGTGCTTAGGTGTGTATTTTTAGTAAAATGTCCTGTTTTATTATTATAATATACAAGAATGTCCATCGTCATTACTACTCTTAATTTGTATGTCGAAGATGCTAATTAATGTCATTAAAGACAAAACGTTCTTAGGGAGAAACATAAAGGGATTACTACGTAAGGGGTGTGAAGGTTGGATTATAGCTAATTCAAAAATCGGAAACGAAAAACTAGAAGACATTGATTTCCGATATTTAGGAAGTCAGATAACTCAGGGGACAAAGCGCTACATATATAAAATAAACAGTGGCCTAGTGTCTAGTCGCTTCCAATAAAAAAAAACATTATTGTGATTGCAGTAGATTAATTCTGAAATTCGAAAAAAAAATACTGCGAAGAGACGTTACTAGAAATGAGGACGTCTTAGAAAGAGTAGGAAAACTGAGGGCGTTTTGAAAATTAACAAGAAATATGGAAGGGTAGTTAGGAAAGAAGCTGAAGTTAAAAACGGCAGGGGTGTATCCAGATTTAGCAACCAATCTTCGAGTTACACACTTTACGATGATGATGTCACATTAATAATTCTTTGGGTTTTATTTAAAATTGAATTAGATTCCCCTTTCCTTATGTTGCATTTTCCAAAACTAAATATTCTTTGAAAATATACTATTATATAATCGATGAAGTAAAAAAACAAATTATTAAATGGTATAGAGAAATATAAGAACAAAGGCTTTCACGACGGGAATCCATAGTAGAATGACGATTCGGGCTATAGGGCCGTGGTTAAAGTGAACTATTCTATCCTGACGTTTCGTCAGCTACTACGGCTGACATTCTCAGTGATACTACTGCGTTGACAACGTGAACGTAGATTATATCTCGAAGTCTCGAAAGCGACTGGACAGAATAGTTCACTTAGACCACGGCCCTATAGCCCGAATCTTCATTCTACTATGGTATAGGGAAATTTTCTTAGATCTGGCAACCTTGTGACGTCTGACGAATGTGAGCCGGTCGGTCGTAAGAGTCGCCAACTTTTTAAAGTGTACGTATACCTAATAACAGGAAACTATAATACATTGAGCAGTGGCGTCGACCTTCGTGAGCGAATTGTGAACGCGTTCTCACCGAGAAGGTCGTCACTTTCTGTGATCGAATGTTACCCAAGTTCCTCGCCCGAAGTAGGTAATTCCAACCGACACATTTGCTTACTATATATTAATAATATTATACAACAACACACTCGATTAAAAGACAACAGCCTCTAATGATTATGGCATAGTTTTATAGGGTTGTTCAGGTGGTAGCCTTTCGTATGCTAAAGTAATTGTCCCAACTGGTAGCGATCAAGTAATAGAAGCCTTCATCGGGTTAAATACATGAGTTGTTAGATTGCATTGTTTGTAAACAATTTCGGTTATTATAAAAGTGCCTATTTTTACTGAAAAAAATATAATCATTTTCTAATGATTACTGTTGACTGAATTCATTTAAAAATAAATGCCCTACAGACATTTGTGCTTTCAATAGGAATATTTTATGATAATCACAGGCACACCGCTGTCTAAATAATTAGCTACTAAATGATGATATCGTTATTTAATCCGGCACTGCGGAATTGTTTTACCTTTTATTAAATTGTTTGTTTCATTATAATTCCATTTATTTAATGGTTGATACAGCTATAGTTTTTTAATCGTTTCTAAAAAATCAATAAAACAGTTAAAGATACACTAATAGTACCCGAATTGGTTAAGTAACTCAAAGAGAAGGTTAATCTTCATCAAAATGGTATCATTTTATTTGTTTAGATGTTGGACATCCATTTAATCAAATTAGAGAATTTGTTCTTTCTACGAGAACATTTTCCTTGTGGCTATTGAAAGTAAACAAGATCATTCGGATACTTTGACAAATAATCATAACATATTAAAAAATAATTAAAGGAAATTCATATAGATACTTTAACAGGTAATCATGAAATATTAAAGAATAACTAAAGTAACTTCGGATGTGGTTATCATACTTTTTATGCAACATTCATACTTATTTATTGTTGCTGACGTTTCGGTACTTACTGTAGGCGTTCAATGTTTGTCAATAACGTTCGAAACAATTCTGTGTGTATCAATGTAAAGTCCCTGCATATACATATATAAGCAACAAATATTTTCGTTATCACAGAGCCGTGATAGTCAGGCATCATATGTGTATGTTATTGATTGTTTTCCTGCCTTACATGAATATTTCAATGAATTAAGTTTTAAAGTGGATGAAGACCTCTTTTCTTTGCTGGTTCCGAATCCATTTTCCTTAATACCTAAACCATTAGGTCTAAGCGCAATATGTAAGTCTAATTGATGACATCCATTTCTTATTATGAGCCAATCTTCGAATTTCTCAAAAACTAGAGAATACCTACATCTCCATCACAATAGTGATTTAATATCCTTGCCTTCTTATAAGTTCTGTTTCTTCTTCTAATATGTCCTCAGCTAGCCCTCCATGTCTGAGAATTTATGTCGCCAATTTCTTATTTACTTCCAAGCCGGTCTCTGCTCTCCTACTCATTCTAACACCTCCTCATTTCTATCTACAGGACTTACATCGTCCTTCTATAATAAAGACCACATATGAAACGCTTCTAACCGTACACGCTTCACACTCATACAAATCCGTGCTCTAAACCTTAAAGATCATTTATCATCATCATAAGATCGTCAGTCCTAAGACTGGTTGGACAAGCACCTCCACTCTTCCCTATCTTGAGCTAATGTTCGCGTGTCCTTAAAATTAGAACACCCCACATCCATTATTATTTGTGAACAATAATCTAATCTATGTCTACCTCTACTCCTTTTACCGTTTGTATCTGATTCCAATATCAATATCAATACCAACCAACCCTTCATGCCTATAATGGTGTTCTACCAACCGTTCCCTACTATATATATAGTCATCAACCATGACAAAAAATTAATTGGATTGTTTGAAAGGTTTCGCAGTCTATATTTCGTATTATTGAAAATTTGAACTACATATATTCATATCAAAAGTATAGTCAGTACATATGTCGCCATCCAATGATATTTGCTGCCTCATAGTATGATTATTTACTAAGGTTATCAGCAGCTATTTCAATTTATCAATTATTCACTTTTATATTAGGACAATAATCTCAATTTTTATTATAATTATTGTTCGCTGGATGGTTCTTCCAATTCCACACCTTCGGCTTCGGGAACACCAAATATGGGAAGTCCGTCGGCGCCCCAAGTGAATTTCTGTGCCCGTGACGATCTGTCCATATAGCAAACACCATCCGGACTACTGTTAGCGTGATAAACGATCCAGTCTTCTGTTCCATCCGCTGACTTAAAGAACCCGTTGTGTCCGGGGCCGTACACATGATGGCCTTCGTCTTTTTGGAACACAGGATTGGGATACTTCTTCCAGTGTGTGATGTTGAGTGGATCTGTGCCCACAAACTCCAAGAGACCAAGCTTGTAATCAGGTGTGGCACATGAACTGGCCGAGTAGACTATGAAGGTTCTGTTGTCATGGTAGAGAGGTTCAGGCCCCTCGTTAGTAGTGCCACCTTCTATCTCCCAGTCATATGTCGGGGCGGATATCATGTGTTTTACACCAGGTGCCAGCGTGTAAGGATTAGTCAGTTCCCGTATGTACAACTGTTGGGTGTCGGCAATGAACGACGCGATCAAATAGAACTTACCATTGATCTTGATCAAACTGGGATCCAATTCCATCGGGTCACCGTCATCGATTAAATCCGCCTTATGTGAATAGGGCCCCATCGGGTCATCCCCAACGCTTTCTGCCACATGATTCCTGTGACACGCGTAGTTTTCAGTGCCTGGGGCGCATGACGTGTAGTAAAGGTACCACTTTCCGTCTACTTGATGAAGTTCTGGTGCCCATCCCGTATGACCGTCGAATGTGTACACCACCGTGTTCGAAGCATTTTTCAGACCTTCCAAGGTGGTAGCCTTTCGTATGCTAAAGTAATTGTCCCAACTGGTAGCGATCAAGTAATAGAAGCCTTCATAGGAGACCATCCATGGGTCGGGCGCATTTGGTGCTATCGGGTTCGTGAACGCTTCAGTACCAACCGTCGCCACCAATAATCCTATCACAAGCAGCATGAACATGTTCGATTTTTAATTTTAAATGCCTACTACTACAGCTTTTATAAGTGAGCAAATTCCACCACTATCATCATATTTTTCTTCAGTGTCCTGAAAACATCTGTTATCTATCTACTTATCTAGTTATAATCTCTTTTGAAGTAGTTGAACGTGACACTTGTGCAACTTCGCACTGCAATCATCTCTTATCTACTAAAAAAAAATGCTTGTTCCCAAATTAATTATGGGTTACAGATACAAGTAGATCTAAATCTACTTCTAAAAAAAACGTCAAACTATACAGTTTGATGTCATATCACATATTTGTGATGTGTATATATGTGCTATATATAGTGTGTTAAAATATATGATATTATCGTATAGAAAAGTGTTTNCAAAAAAACGATTCCTTTAAAATCCCACCAAACAGACAGCATCACCTTTTTTTGGTGAATATCGGCTTCGGAAATGGTTTGAGCCGGTTCATTTTTTTTGCTTCATGACCACTTGCGTTTGACGTTGTTGTATACAACCCATTTTTCGTCCCCAGTGATGATGCGCTTCAAAAACGGATCATTTTCGTGACGTTTGAGAAGCGGATCGCAGACTTTAATGCGACGACACAGATTTCTCTCTGTGAGAACATGGGGAACCCATACATCGAGCTTCGAGGATAATCCCAGGCCTTTCAAGTGGTCATAAACTGTTGAATTTGATAAATTTAACCTCAATCCGATCTCACGTGTTGTTATTCGCCGGTTCACATCAACTAATGCCTTTATCGCGTCTTTATCAGTTTCAACCGGCCTTCCCGAACGTGGTGCATCTTCGACATCAAAATTGCCGGATCGAAATTTAGCGAACCAGTTCCTGGCACTGGCGTACTGTCAACACACCTTCTCCATACACATCAGTCAATTTCTTTCTGGCTTGAACAGCATTTTTACCCTTTCTGTAGTAAAAAAGTAAAATATGTCGAAAATGCTGCTTATCGCTCTCCATATTTAAAAGGGCACCAACCAAAAACTACTGCGTAGAATTAATTGGAATTTTTCACACACAAGCCTTGCTATATGAGCTCTCAAAGCATATAAAAATTATACGGCTTAAATGTGAAGTTGGGTGAAAAAGAATACAATTAAGTCCTCTGTCAGGAAAAAACGAAATGACTTTCCGAACAACCCAATATTATAAAATTCGTTGTCTTTCTCTTGTCGGAAACATTGACATTTAATCTGAGCAAGACCCGATTGTAATGCACCAGAGGGAACAAACAATAAGATGCCACAAACGGCAACCAGATCGAGAATGGGATTCCAGTTGTTTATTACCTTCACTTAAATCTACCGCTTTTATTCGCCCTTTCCATATTTTCTTCGTAAAACTCCATCCGCTATGTGAGATTCTCTAGGTAATGTTGTTGAGTAGTTTGTAGTTTGTAACATTTCAACTTGTTACGCTTTGTAATATTCGTAATAGTTTCGATGCTTAATATTAACTTCATCAATTTGAACACCATTAAATACAGAGAAAATCAACTTCCACTAAACTAGAAGCGGCGGTTTCGAGAAGTTCCACTCTTCCTGTACATACTGAACAGGCTGCTCTTCGTGTGAATGTATAAATTTTGTACAATTTTCAAACTTAGGAATGATTTCCAAAACTGCAGATTTTGCAGGAATCGGCCCATTTTCATATGAAAACACAAATCTGCCAATTACAGCTTCTGTGGAATTACCGGATTAATCATCATCATCATAAGGTCATCAGTCCTAAGACTGGTTAGACAAAGACCTTCAGTGTTTCCTATGCTGAGCTAATTTTCGCATTTATCTGAGTAATACTTTTCAATAATTTGTCTTTTGTTTCATTGATTATATAGACATACATTTTGAAGGAGCACGTGATTTGTGAAACCAGGAAAAAGTAGAGGTTATGTACCCTCTGTTGTGGAAGTAGGTCAATTGTTTTCCACACGTGTATACCTACTTATACCACAACTTTTATACGTGAGCAACCTCCATTAACATTGTGTTTATTCCTCTGTACTTTGAAAATATCTGTTTATCTATTTGCTTATATGTTTACAACATCTTTTGGAGTACAACTTCACACATCAATCACCTTTTATCTAATGAAAAAAAAAACGCTTTTTTCCCAAAATGAATTATAATAATTTGGAGCTATATAGATGAAAAAAACAACACAATTTGTTTATTGACAGTTTATCTTTAAATTACAGTTTGATTTCATAACTGTTTATCAAATAACAACGTTCTACCGTAAGTTTTTATTATACATATGTCCATTACTGAGGCAGCCTGCAAAAACGGTTTTGTTTGAAAATTGTAGAAAAACTATAGAAAATGCATGTACAGGCATCTGATTAAGCTTCTAAAGAACCAGGATTTGGCAAAATTTGATCCGACTTTAATAAGCGGTTTAAAAGATACTAAGATAAAATCTGCTTAAAAAGCATTTTCGTCTTGTAAGCATAATCGGTACAATTATATTCTCCTAAACTAGCTAAATATTATAACGTCTAATTAAAAGTTGGAAGAATTCCTTAAGCCAACTTTTGATATCCAGCAATTGCAGCAAAATGAGCGAGTGTCCTAACCTTAAATTTTTAACGATTACTGTTGAGGGTAAGGTTGAATTAAATAATGCACTTGATTCATAAAATGATGCTATTCTAACTTTATTCCATCAAAATAATCTAAAGTATACGTGGACTACTTACAACTTAACCTATCCTAAAAGCACCCGTCTTAGCGCGAATCATACCCCGTCGTCTTTTTGTCACCACGCATGTCCACAAGCATCGATCCTTGCGCAGGGGCTATTTAGTACCCCAGCGCACCCCATGTTTAATTTTCGCCAATCTCGAACCGCGTGAAAATATGCAATTAAGCAGTGTGACCGCAACAATTACAATTCAACCAGTATTGCATATTTCTATGGGTTTTTATGACGCGCTATTATGTTAAAACATTTCATATTATATTGAGAAAAGTTTTTATTTTGATGCATTTCTATTTTTTAATTTTCGTGGTATGTTCATCTTCTTGTCTACAAACCTTTCATTTATCACTAGACCTTATTGCTATATACTCGTTCTGAATCTTGCGTTGATTTCCTATAAAATATTCGAAAACTGACGAATGAGGAAAACTCCATCTCATTGATTTTTTAGTAACTTAAAAACCCACGCTGCCCTTATCTCCTTTTATCGTGAAATGTAAACTCCTGTCGCACATAAAAATTGCAGTAGGTTGAACATAAAGGAGAATGAAAAAAATACAGCAATTATTAATCATTTTGAAAAAATATCAATAAACATCAACTCTGAAAGGATAATTCATTCAACTGCCTCCCCAGCCATACGTATACTAAGACGACATTTAGTATCTAACAACTCACAAATTTATTTTCACCTATTCCACCGAGTGCAATGTCTGTGCATGGGTCTTGTAAAATGTAATAAAGTGTTTCGTTTTTTTTTTTTTTGAATGCGTTATTAGAGCGTGCAAATAAATTCCCAATTTATTTGTAAAAATACCTCCAACACTTAATGATATAATTCTTTATAAATATTCTTAAATACATTTTAAATTTTTATTATTGTAATTCATTCGCCGGATGGTGCTTGCAATTCCACGCCTTCGGCTTCGGGAACACCAAATACGGGAAGTCCATCGGCGCCCCATCTGAATTTCTGGGCCCGTGATGTTCTGTTCATGTCGCAGTGACCATTCGGACTATCATTAGCATGATAAACAATCCAGTCGTCTCTTCCATCTGGCGACTTAAAAAACCCGTTGTGTCCTGGTCCATACACCCCACGACTGATATTTTTTTGGAACACAGGATTGGGATATTTCCTCCAGTCTGAGATATTGAGTGGATCTCTGCCTATAAACTCCAACAGACCGAGCTTATAATTCTCTGTGTCGCAATAACCAGCCGAGTAAACTACAAAGGTCCTGTTGTTGTGGTATAGGGGTTCGGGTCCCTCGTTAACACTGCCACCATCGCTCTCCCAATCAAATGTCGGTTCTGATAGCAAGTGTTTTTCACCACGTGCCAGTGTGTAGGGGTTGGTTAGTTCGCGTATATACAACTTCTGAATATCGGGGATGAACGACGCTATTAAATAATGTTTACCGTTGATCTTGATCAAACTGGGATCCAATTCAAATACGTCGTCGCTATCAATCAAATCGGCCTTGTGAGTGTAGGGTCCCATCGGGTCATCCCCAGCACTTTCTGCCACACGATTCCTATGGCATGCGACGTCATCGGTATTAGTATTTGGACCGCATGACGTGTAGTAAAGGTACCACTTTTCATTTACTTGATGAATTTCTGGTGCCCATCCTGAGTGACCGCTGAACCTATACACCACTTGGTTCTGGGCACTTTTCAGACCAGCTAAAGTTCTGGCTTTCCTTATGCCGAAGTAATTGCTCCAGGTGGTTGCGATAAGGTGGTAGAAACCTTTATAATAGACCATCCATGGGTCAGGGGCATTTAGTGCTATCGGGTTCGTGAACGCATCCGAGCCAACTACCACCAATAGCAAACTTACAACGATCAACTTGAACATGTTCAACTTTTAGTTAGAATTAGCTCAGTAGCACAGCTTTTATACGTGAACAAGTTCCGCCATTATCAAATTTTTTTCTTGTGTAGACTTTATCGCTTTTTAATATCATTTGAAGTATTTTCATTTGCCACATGCTTCATATAGCAATTTTCGCTTATCTAATGAAAAAAATTACTGTGTCTCGAAATTCAGTAAATTATTAATTATGTGTTACTGATACAGATTAAAAAAGGTATTAAATAATTCGTCGACGAATCGTCTGTCTTAAGTCTTATTTATAGGTCATTCTTTTAGTATACGAGGGTGGATTGATAAGTTTCCGGCCTAACCAAGAGATGACACCACTAGGCCTACCTTGAGGTGACATTCTATAGTACCATCCTTGGATAGCTTGTAGCTATAGTTTCAGCCCGATCTCCTTGCTAGTGTAGGTTTGACAGCACGCTGAACAAGACGCCTCTGTGGTTTTCGTAAAAATGGAAAAGCAGGAAAATCGTGCTGTCATCAAATACTTTTATTTGAAGGGGTTAACGCCGAAGGAAATTAAAAAAGAGATGGACTCAACACTGGGGACATCCTCCCCGTCATATTCAACCGTTAAGCAGTGGGTTTCCGAGTTTAAAAAGGGTCGTGTGAGCACCTCTGATGGGCCTCGCTCAGGACGCCCCGTTGAGGTCACAACTCCAGATATGATCGAAAAAATTCATCAAATAGTGCTGGGAGACCGCAGATTGAAAGTGCGTGAGATAGCTGAGACCTGTAAGATGTCATATGAACGTGTGCAACATATTTTGCACCAACATTTGCATATGGAAAAGCTCTGTGCAAGATGGGTGCCGCGTTTGCTAACAGTCGACCAAAAATTGATTCGAAAAAACATTTCTACCGCAAATTTGTCATTGTATAAGCGTAATCCAAGCGAATTTTTGCGTCGATTCGTAACCGTTGACGAAACGTGGGTCCACCACTACACTCCTGAAACCAAAGAACAGTCTAAACAGTGGATTGGACCAGGGGAACCAACTCCAAAGAAGGCAAAAACAATTTTTTCGGCGAACAAGGTTATGGCTACTGTTTTTTGGGATGCAAGAGGTATTATATACATTGATTACCTTGCAAAGGGTAATACTATCACTGGTCAATACTACGCAGACTTATTGCAACGTTTGAGCCACGAGGTGAAAATTAAACGACCTCATCTGGCGAAGAAAAAAATCTTGTTTCATCACGATAACGCACCAGCGCACACGTCAATCGTTGCGACGGCTAAAATCAACGATCTAAAGTTTGAATTGATGCCGCACCCTCCTTACTCTCCAGACCTAGCCCCGAGTGACTATTTTCTGTTCCCTAATCTCAAAAAATGGCTTGGCGGTAAGAGATTTGCGGACAATGAAGAAGTAATCGAAGCTGTAAATGGTTATTTTGAGGAGCTTGACGAATCAGTCTATAGAGATGGCATTAATAGACTGGAACACCGCTATGAGAAATGTATCAGCCTTGGAGGAGATTATGTTGAGAAATAAAAAAAAAAATTTTTAAAAACCTTGTTTTTCTTGGTCAGGCCGGAAACTTATCAATCCACCCTCGTATATTATCTTCATCTTCTTTTCTTTAAAGTGATTTATTAGTGCTTTCTGCCTTCCACTTTTGTTTCTCTCAAGTATTCTGGTTCCTTCCTTTCTTATTATTTCTTTATATTCTTCGATGTATTTGTATCTACTTAATTGTACAGAAAAAAATTGGTTCCTAATATAATCGAATGGTATTTATTGACCGGTATTTCGTTGAAACAATTAATCGTTTATTAATACAAAAAATTTTATCTACTAATTTTTATTGATTTATCAACAAAATTTTTGTCTCAACGAACTATTGTTCGTTGTAGCAACAACTTCAGGTTTTTAAAGCAACGAACAATTTTATTGATTTGTCGAATTAATTATTTTATTGGGACAATAAACTTATTGTTATAAGTTAAGACACAATTTGAATAATCGATATTATTGTAGTAATCTACGAAATGATTAATCAATAAATGGTACATTGGGACAATGTTACACTATTTTATGAACTTACGAACTGATATTATTAAACAATGAACATTTTGTGTTGCCAGAACGAACAATTTATTGAATAACTAACAGTTCGTTGCCTCAATGTATCCAAATTTTGCCCCCATGAACTGTTTTATTGGTGGCGTCGGTATTCGCGCCTGATTTTTGGGGTTTAACGGAATGGCCTTCCCGAGCTTTCGTTCTACTAACATTCGTCTAATAATAGATGAAAATTAATAACTGTAGATAAGTGAGTATTGTAATTTACATATCAACAAGCTGAATATGAAATTAATTTTTTTTCGCCATAAGTTTTAAACTTATTTTTTTCATTAATCTGAAAACGTTTGTAATATTATGAATATGCATTACTTCTGGAAAATTATGAGCTTCTTCAGAGAAATATTACAGGTCAACAATGAGGATTGAACAATCCCATTTCTTCCATTTGTACTTTAACATTTTAAACCCATTTTTAACACACAAGTTAATTCCTTTTATACTACACACATAGGTATCTCCATAATATTATTATTAGTTTATATTTAATTTAAGAAATTGTCTTGTAAAAGGGACAAAGCAACAATTCAAAACTAATTAAAACGCGTAGCTCAACCAATCGATAATGGACTGTTAATTTATCTACTAATTTACAGTTTCCTTATTTTTAAATTACAAAAAACAATAATAATTAGTTTTATTAGTTATAATGAGACCATAAGCAGACTTTTTTATTATAATTATTGTTCTCCGGACGGGGCTTGCAATTCCACGCCTTCGGCTTCGGGAACGCCAAATACGGGCAGTCCATCAGCACCCCAGGTGAATTTCTGTGCCCTTGATGACCTTTCCATGGTACAACCAGCATCCGGACTATTGTTAGCATGATAAATAATCCACTCCTCTGTTCCATCAGGTGACTGAAAGAACCCATTGTGTCCGGGACCGTACACATGATGGCTTACGTCTTTTTGGAACACCGGGTTGGGATATTTCTTCCAATGTGTGATATCGAGCGGGTCTGTACCTACAAACTCTAACAGACCGAGCTTATAATTCTCCGTGGCACAGTAACTAGCCGAGTAGACTATAAAGGTTCTGTTGCCGTGGTAAAGGGGTTCGGGACCCTCATTTACTCTGGCGCCCTCTCTTTCCCAATCAAGTGTCGGTTCGGATAGCAAGTGTTTTACACCAGGTGCTAGTGTGTAAGGGTTGACCAGTTCCCGTATGTACATCTTCTGAATATCGGGAATATACGACGCGATCAAATAGTATTTACCATTGATCTTGATCAAACTGGGATCCAATTCGTATGGGTCACCGTCATCAATCAAATCGGCCTTGTGAGTGTAGGGTCCCATCGGGTCATCCCCAGCGCTTTCTGCCACACGATTTCTGTGACACGCAAGGTCGTCAGTGTTAGTATCTGGACCGCATGACGTGTAGTAAAGGTACCACTTTCCGTCTACTTGGTGGAGTTCTGGTGCCCATCCTGAGTGACCCTCGAACGTGTACACGACCTCGTTTTCGACATTTTTCAGACCGGCCAAAGTGCTAGCCTTCCTTATGCCAAAATAATTGCTCCACGTGGTAGCGACCAGGTAGTAGAAGCCTTTGTAGTAGACCATCCACGGGTCAGGTGCATTCAGCGCTATCGGGTTCGTGAACGCATCGCAGCCAACCGCCACCAACAGCAAGCTTGCCACGATCAGCTTGAACATGTTCGACTTTTAATTTGAAATGAATAGTGCCTCAGCTTTTATACGTAATGAAACTCCACCATTATCATATTTTTCTTCTGTATACTGGATATATTTATCTGTTTATCAATCAGTTTATCTGTTTTTATTATCATTTTGCATTTGTCACTTCATATAGGTGTTATAGATTTTATCTAATGGAGAAAAATCGGTTTCGAAATCCATTAAATCAATAATGTATTATCGGCACAGACTTGTTGAGCCCATCCAAATGTGAACAGATCAGCACATTCTCTCTCACCATAGTTTTAAATTTGGACTGACTGTTTTTTTTAGTATATAGTTTGTAGTATTTTGCTTTTTCTTCTTTTCTTCATACCTCCAGAATTCATTTAATCTTATTTTATTACCCCTTCTAAATCTTGCAGTGATACCTAGTACCTTCACTGTCTTTCACTTAAGTATCTCTTAAATATTCTGACAATTCCTGTCTATAATTGGGACGATTAAAATTGGTAAAGTCCGTAATGAATTAGCCGTGAGAATGGATCTTCTTTTCTTGTGTCCACTTGGGACTGTAGTCATTTGCTGCGTTTTGAACACGCCCATGTTAAGTTAGGAGCGGTGTAATGGTTACAGATTGCTTAGGTACTCGAAAGATCAGGGTCGGCTTTATGACTGCCTGGTTGGAATTATATGTTTATACAAGCACCTTGCTTTACTAAATTCCTGAGAACGTTGAACTTTCTTTAAAAGCCGATGCTGGTAACATGCTTAATTATCTCTTTCTGTTACACATTAATTGACGTAATGTTATTCCTTTTTCTTTTCTTTATTAGTGTCCGCTGCAATTCTTACTTAACATCTCTTTTCTGTGTTTACGATATTCCCTACAACGTCTGTCGTGAGTAAAAGTAGGCGTTCTGTCAGCAACCGCTCTAGTTAGTAAGTTGAAAGAATGTAATCGATTTTAGTTAGAAATGTTTGCAGATTCTAATTTTATTTTGAGTAAAATAAAAATATAAATTTACAGTTGTTTTATAATTTTTATTAATTATATTTTCGTTACAAATTATTATAATTTATCAGTTATTCACTCTTTATAATTTCAAATCAAATAAAAGTGAAGAGATATCAGGCAGAATTTTTCGTATTGCTATTCACCGGACGGCGCTTGTAGTTCCACTCCTGCAGCTTCCGGAACACCAAATACGGGAAGTCCATCGGCACCCCACGTGAACTTTTGCGCCCGTGATGACCTTTGCATGTTACAGCCACCGTCCGTACTATTATTGGCATGGTAGATAATCCAATCCTCTGTTCCATCGGGTGACTTGAAGAATCCATTATGTCCTGGACCATACACTCCACGACTTTCGTTTTTCTGGAACACAGGATTGGGGTATTTCCTCCAATGAGTGATATTGAGTGGATCTGTGCCCACAAACTCCAAGAGACCAAGCTTATAGTTAGGTGTGGCACAATAACTAGCTGAGAAAACCACAAATGTCCTATTGTTATGGTAAAGCGGTTCCGGACCCTCGTCTACAGTCCAACCCTCTCTTTCCCAACTTAATGTCGGTTCAGATAACATCTGCTTTACGCCAGGTGCCAATGTGTAGGGATTCGTCAGTTCCCGTATATACAACATTTGAGTTCGGACAAAATACGACCCGAGTAAATAATATTTGCCATTGATATTGATCAGGCTAGGATCCAATTCTTCTGGATCGCCGTCGTCAACCAAGTCAGCCTTGTGTTGGTAGGGTCCCATTGGATCATCTCCAACGCTTTCTGCAACACGATTTCTATGACACGCATTGCCTGTTGTATTTGGACCACATGACGTGTAATAGAGATACCATTTACTGTCTACCAGATGAATTTCTGGTGCCCATCCTGTGTGACCATCGAATGTGTACACCACCGTGTTCTCGACGCTTTTCAGACCTTCCAAAGTGCTGGACTTCCGTATGCCAAAGTAATTGCTCCAAGTGGTTGCGATCAGGTAATAGAAACCTTTATAATAGACCATCCATGGGTCAGGGGCATCCAGTGCTATTGGGTTCGTGAACGCATCCGAGCCAACTACCACCAATAGCAAACTTACAACGATCAACTTGAGCATGTTCAACTTTTAATTGAAAATGATGAGTACCACAGCTTTTATACGAGAACAAAATCAACCATTATCATGTTTTTTCTTATACGTACCGGGAATATCTGTTTATCCATGTATTTTTTTATTTATAATATCTTTTAAAGTGTGTAGATCTGCCATGTTTGAACTTCACAAAGCAATCATCATTTATCTAGCGGAAAAAAATTGTTTGCTTGAAACTTCAATTAGGTACTGTGGATACAGATATACAACAAAATATTTATAAGTAGTTGATTTTCAATTTGTTGGCATGATAGATAACACGTACATACGTAGAATTTTCAAATCTAAAATCAATTTGTTTCTTCTTTATTGCTTTCATTTCAATCCATTGTTTAATTTTTGTTTTTCTCCAAATATGTGACAAGTACATTAACATCCCTTAGTAGTCCAAAGGTCGACAAACCACGGCTCTTTCAAGAGACAATTACGGCTGAAAAATTAAACGCTAAACGAAACGGACAGACACGTAGTCAAAATAAAAAAATGGCTTTCGTGTTGAAGATCGAAAAAAAAAAATAAAAATTTGTGGCTCTTTGAAATTCATGAAACAGTATTTTTATTACGAATAAATTTTCCAGCTTAAAACTTTTCCGACCCCTGACTTAGGCAAATACAGAGATAGTAATCTTTCATTCACTTCTGTCTTTAGTTCATACGTCTCATCTTTCTGAGCATGAGTAGCTAGTAAGGATAGAACACCCATAAGTTTTTTTAGTTTTATACCACCTATCGAGTAAAGAGAATCGTAATTGGTCCCAGAGCTTTCTGAGGTCGAGGAGTTTTAGCTCATAAGAAAATTTTCCCTTTTCCACGATAACCCAAAAAAACTCCACTTGAGACTCTGAGAATCCTTTTGATCTATTACTCATAAGCAACACAGAACGTCGAGCAGAAAGCGATTTTGAACATACCCAACAGCGACGAGTATGGCAGAGATACAATAAATTATAATAATATAATATTCTTGTTGTACACTACCGACAAGTAAAATATTAACTAATTTAATAATGTAAGTTGAAATATTTATATATATCCTTAGAATATATCGGTCAAAGCTTGTTTATAAAAAAATTAAACAAGGTATCGCAATAAATATCTAAAAATAGTACTTTATGTCAAAATGCGGTTACTTTGTCATTTCATTTAATTGAACTACGTGAGGAATGATGAGGATACCGTGGATAGAGAAGGTTAGAAATGAAGAGGTATTAGAAAAAGTAGAAGAACAGAAAGTGCTATGAATATCAATAAGAAGTAGGCGAGATAGGTAGAGGTAATCGCAAATAATTAAGGATGTCGATTGTACTAGTTTTACGGAAATGTAAAGATTAGCTCAGGATGGGAAAGAGTAGAGGTGTTGTCCAACCAGTCTCAGGACTGACAACCTAATGAAGATGATGTATATAATTTAGCACCCACAAGTGAATCTCAATAACGTAAATATTTTCTAAGCTGGCCACCGATAACTGAATAGGAATTCAACAAATATTTTTCTCACATATTTTTTTTCCGGATCCTATAGTTTTCTTTTCTATTTTATGGTGATCTCAAATCGGAGAATGAATAAATAAAACACTAATGTTTACACTGTCACTGCTTAAGACTAGATGCACTGGAACGATTTCAATAACACAAACAATTGATAATAATTTCGTTTCATTCCAGAAAATGGTCTCATCATTATAGAGAATTTTTCATTAAAATGGCATTCACTATAGCTCAGTTTATACCGAATTTTTTTGAAGATAGGACATCTTTGTTTAGTGGAAATAATAATAATAATAATAATTAGGGATGTAAATGTGAGTGCTTGTAAATATTCCAGGACTACTTTGAAGACTCAGCAGGATAAATGGGTTTCTATTGTAAAGTTTCGGCGACACGCGGTATTAGCTGGAATTTCGACACCATTTTGACCTAATTCGACCGTTGAACTTTACCCTTTCCGAAAAACTCGTACATAATATGCTGTAATAATTAAATTTAACAGTACAACGTAATCTCTAGCTTGTCTGCGGCGAGGAAAATGTTTTAATTATCCTGAAGGGAATAACTAACGACTCATTTGTTTTCAGACAAAATTACAAGTAGGAATTATTTCCTCAGATTTAACAGACGCGGTAATTCCAGTTAATTTATCGCTTTAGATTGAATCAAAATTTAACCCGAAATTATGCTGTAAATTGTCTTAGAGACGGTGTTAAGAAAATACTGTTAATGTTTCTGTTTGATACACTTCATCATCTTGAAAACTATTGTTATGGATTAATGCCGCAAGCGGAGATCGATACGGCGGACTCTTTGAAAGCCAGCAGGCGTGGTCATACATCATACGACTAAAAAGAACAGAAAGGAAAAGGAACATACAAGAAGTTTCCAGAAATAATCACGAATGTTGTATGGTTGTATAGATAGGTGCCCAGCATCCCATAAAGCAGAGCCGGGCAAACTCTGCTCTTTTGACTCCTGAGTGCTCCTCAGGTATAGCCAAGGAACTCCTCATTGATCCTGCGAGTGCGAGTGAGATGATTCTTTCCTTTTCTTATCCTTTCCATTTCGTAAATGAGTCCCCTCTTCCATAGCCAAACCCAATAATATTGCAAACGAAAATTTTCGTAGGTATTATTTAAGTTGCGAGAGTGGCTTCGCTCGTCTACGGGATGAAGGGGCTTGATATGGGGGATATACTACAGAATGTCTATGTACAACATTCACAGTTTTTTTGTCATTAGACAATACAAACCGGCCTCCCGGTCGGTACCGCCGCATTTTAAATCTGTAATAGCTTCGAAAATATTCATTTAAGTTGCATGCTCTAAAAGGCCATATTAATCTACATTAATGCAGAATGTATTTAAGGTAATTAATTGGATAAGAATTAATGCCGTGTTGCTTAAAATCGTTTAATAAATAAGTCATTATTTCTCATAAAATGTAAAGGATAAAAAATGGTTATTGTGGGTTATCCCTAAGAGATAGACATATACCATCGTAGACTTTTTTGTAGACCCTTTTAAGATGTACAATATTGTAGTACATTATTTTGATCTATCTCGTAGGGTTCAGCCAGCGTTTGCAATGTAAGCGCAAAAAATGTGTTTTACGACATTGGAAATCTCTAAAATTATCAGTGTTTCTTTACTATATTATGCATGTATTATAGATATAAACCTTCCTCTTGAATCACTCTATCCACTAAAAAAAAACCCATCAAAATCCGTTACGTAGATTTAAAGATCTAAGCATACATAGGGACAGACAGTGGAAAGCGACTTTGTTTTATACTATATAGTGATAGTAAAGTGATAGTGATTAAAAGAAAAAACTCCTCAGCAACAAAATCGCTTCTATTCTTTTAGATAAACAAAAAAAATTATTCTGTCGGTTGAGTTTACCAATGACAGTAAAAGTTGACGATGGCGTACTACAAACGCGTGCCAGAAATGAGTATTTGGATTGCAGTGGTGCTACAGTAATTCCTGAAGAACGCTTACGCTTAGTCGCAGAAATTAATTCAGCCGTTGTTCCAGGATTGGAATAAAGAGTCCAGCGAAGTATAATCCAAGTTGGGGGTGGGTGGAAGGAGCCGGGGGACGTGACGGGGGTGCACGGAGGGTGCCTATAAATTGCTAGTCACGAAACCGATTCGCGGAAGAGAAGCAAACATAAATCAGCATCGTCTCTCTGGATCTCGATCAGATTGCGTAGGGTGTTTATCAAACAAATAACCGGGCAATGCATATCAATGAACGATGAATGATGCCCCTTTCCCGTGCTCGATGACAACGGTCGTAATGTAACCAATTATTTGCCCGGTGACGGGAATCGTAAACTGCGGTTAACAAAAATTGATTTTGCGATAACTTGCCGTGTTTGTAGTATCTATATGTATCTACAATGTATCCAGCTATACAATAAATTTTGGACAACGTTTCGTAAAAGTCCTACAGGAAGTATTCCAGAAGTTTATTTTATTTTTTTGCTTTTCCATATACCTATTTATGCCAGTTGTATAGTTGTAGGTACTCATCATCATAAGGTCGTCAATCCCAAGACTGATTAGACACACACCTCCACTCCTTCCTATCCTGAGCTAGTCTTCGCATTTCTCTAAAACTAGAACATCCCACATTCTTTTCTATTTGCGAACAGTAATCTAATCTAGGTCTACCTCTACTTCTCTTAACTCCTGCTATTGCCTCTAATATGTCTCTGTCTAGACCTTCATGCCTGAGAAGATGTCCTACCAACCTATCTCGTCTCTTTTTTATTGAATTCCATAGAATCCTCTGTTCTCCTTTTCTTGCACCCACTGTCCATGTTTTCGTACCCGTACAGTGCCGATCCAAACATACACCCTTAATAATTTCTAAATTAACCGATCTCTAGCATAGAAGTGACTGCTATTTATTGAAGACGACTCGATCCTGCGCTATCCTTTGCTTTATATCTCTACACTTCTTCCGTCCTGGCTTATCTGACTCCCTTGATACCCAAAATCAGCCGATTCTTCTAATCTTTCGTCTCCTATCTTTATATTCGCTTTTTCCCTACATTTTCTGCCCTTGCATACCAGTATTACTGTTGTACTATATGATAAATATATTTAGTCGTCATTGTGGATTTCCTTTAAAAAGCTCAAACTTATATATTTTTTTAATTGCAATTATACATTTTAGGGACTGATTTTTGGGGAAAAATTAAAACCTATTCGGAAAAGTATGAAAAATCATCGAAACTCGATTCTCTTGACGAACGAACTGTTTACATGCCTGCAAATTTGTACCGAACCTTTACACTTTTAACAGTAGATATTCAGAAGTTGTAACATCTGGAAGAGTGACTCTCTGTATAAATAATAGTGCATCATTAGACAGAAGGATTTCATTATTCAGCTAACAATAATTCTAACCCTGGTGCAACCCCCGATAACTGCTCACAGTTTGGGCGTTTACAGACTTGAT